GTTGTGTGGTAGCTGTTGTCGTGAACAACAAGAGTTGTGTCTTGTTGGCATAACATATAGTTAGAATTTAAAGGCTATGTCAATTGTGGACAGGGTAGAAAGAAGCACGGTTGAGTTAACTCACAAGCACTGGTCTATACGAATGCTATAGTAATCCATCTTCAACGTGAGTCCAACTGGTTTTTTTCCTAGTAAAGGTCCTTAGGATATTACACAAAATCCTTTGAGTTCAATTAATTTTGAACAGACTCCCCAGAGATTGCAGACTTTAAATTCTTTCTTTCTTTGTTTTTTTTATTTTTTTTATTTTCGCGGAAACTTCGTGCTATGTTTTCAGCACTTTTCTCAAAGGAAACAAGTGAAATGCTTCTAAGTAAAGTTGTTCAGTAGTATCAGAGGACTTAAATCTCAATTTTCAGCTTTTTTCATTAAATATTCGTTGAGATATAAAGATTTTTCTAAATTTTGAGCAAAACGTTTTTTTTTCTTTTCTATTTTACAGAAACTTAATTTCAGAAGGTATTTTGCAAGCCTAACCCTACTCTAGGGTTCTAAGCAAGTTTAAAGGTAAGGTATTCACCTCTTTGTATTTCAAATTTCATCTTGTTTTGTTGGGTATTCGTGGATATATTACAAAAATTCATAGGGAATCCCTTGAAATTTTTTTTTTGGTTCATATGATAAGAAATCGCTTTTTTCTCGAAATTTTACTAAGATAATCGGTTTTATGTTACTAATAAAAAATGTAGAACAGCCAAAAATAATTGTAGTCTCATAAAACCACTTTGTATTTTTTTCTAATAAAATTTTTATTTATAATCGATTTTTATTGTCACGAATTTTATTTCTTTTTTTTAACTTGAAATTTTCATCAAATTCATTTACAAATGACAATTCTTGTTAGCAAACATGTCTTGGTGTCTTAATTAAAAATATTCAGCACAAAAATCTATATTAGAATCTCAAGTTTCAGATGTAATCGTAAAGATAAAGAAAATTTAGCTAAATATTTTTATTATTATAGTAAATAATTATTATAATAAATTTTTTTTAATTTAAAACAAAAAAAATAATTATATAAATTTTATATAGGATTATATCTTTGTTTTCTCAAACTTCTTCATACATAAACAAAATCTTTATAATATTCAATATGAAAATTATATTGATCTTGTGTAATAGAACCTGAACTTGATAATGATTTAAGATTGTTTTGAAGAAATTTTATTTTTTTTTACATATATAAAATTCTATCAGGTCAATTAAAGACTAGATAGATTATAAAGATATAAATAATACATTTATTATAAAAAAAAAAATTATTCATTTTCAGATTCATCTGAATCAGAATCAGATTCTAATTCTTCAAGAATCTCTTCTTCAGATTTACATAATCTTTGATATAATGACATTGCATCTTTCTTTGGCCAATCAAATTTTTTCTTTTTAAATTCTTTAATTTCACTAAACAATAAATGATTTCTATTTGTTGGCAACTTCTTTTCA